CGTCGGTACGTACCGTTACGGTACCGTAACGGTACGTACGTACTAACGGTACGGGTTACGTTACCCGTTACCTAAACTAAGATAGTACGCTCTCCTACTCTCTCTCTCTCTCTCTCTCTCTCTCTCTCTCTCTCTCTCTCTCTATTCTCCACCACGCCCCTCTCTGGGTGGAACACACCTTCCCAGAGAGGTAAACGACACAATCTTGGTTCTAAGGGCGGTGCCATCTTAGCATTCCCCGCGTGAAAAAGGTTCTTTGTGAAATTCTAATTGTGACCATAGCTCTCATCCCCATATGTTTCAGATAAGGGTCTCCTAGACGTGCTTCCTAGGTTCAAATTAGAGGATTTAGCTAGATATAGGATTTCAAATGCACCATTGCTTAGGTGATCGGGTGTGGAATGTGCTAAGCCCTAAAGGGGTAACCCTAGGCAATAGTCAGCAAGTCTTCCCTCAATTATTTAATCTTATTTTTTGTTGTTCTTGTCTTATTTTACTTCCTAAAGCTATTAGTTTGTAATTCAGTTTCAATAAGTTTTATTTTTTGGGCGTTTAGCTTCAAATTATACTTAAGTTAGGACCTTTTGGTCAAAAGTTAATTGTATGGACAAATATTTTTCAAAACAATAATTTTCCAATATAAATAATAAGGACATGGATGGGTTGGAGAGTTATTCATGTATTCCTCTTTAAGAAAAGAAAGACTTTGTCTTGTAAAAGAATCCTAAAACTTGAGCCCTAGGTGAGAGGAAGCCTTAGGGTTTCTCCAAAATTGCTTGTGTCAAGGAGCTTGCTGATTTTTCTATGTTTCATCAAGTTCTTACATCAAGAAAAATCATATGAAATAGCCTCAAAAAACACTATAAAAAGACACTCAAACTATTTTTTGCTCTTCTTGTTCTTCTTAGAAGCCCTCTTAGGTTTTCATCCTCCTTGTGGCTATTTGTTATGCTTAGATCTCTATCATCCACAGACGGATGGCCAGACTGCAGTGGTAAACCGTACTCTTGGCAATCTTTTGAGAAATATTGTAAAGGAAATTAAGAAACAGTGGAACCTAGCTCTGCTTCAAGCTGAGTTTGCCTATAATATTGTTTGCAATAGATCTTCTAGTAAAAGTCCTTTTGAGGGGGTATATGGAAAAAACCCTACTCATTCACTTGACTTGGTTCCTGTCTCGGCCAATGAAGAGGTTCATGCTGTAGTTGAGGACTTGATTGAACAAATGAAAGGAGTGCATGAACAAGTGCGTGCTACTCTAGAAGCCAATACAACCAAATACAAGGAAGCAACGGACAAGCATGGCCTTTCAAGGAGTTTAATGTGGGAGACTGGGTAATGGTGTATCTTAGGAAGGAACAACATCCAATGGGAAAATACAGCAAGCTGAATGATTGCAAGGCAGGACCATTCAAGATTTTGAAGAAGATGGGCAACAATGCTTAAAAGGCCGTTTTGCCTTCGGACATGGAGACTTTGAACATCTTCAACTTTGCTGATCTATTAGAGTCTCATGATGTGGAGGTGCATGAAGATGAAGATGTGAACTCGAGGGGGAGTTCACCTCAACCTAGGGAGAATGATGGAGATCTAAGCACAAGAAGTAGCCATGAGTATCTTCTTTTGGAGCGATAGATTCCTCCTAATTTTTTCTCATAAATGGAGGATGAAAACCCTACGAGGACTTCTGAGAAGAACAAGAACAACAAAAAATAGTTTGGGTGTTTTTATTTCTAGTTTTTTTGGGATTTTTTTTATTATTTATTTATTTATTTCATTGCTAGACCAGTTAGGGACTTTCTAGATAAGTCAATTAAAATTAGGGAGTTTATACTGAAGTTAGGACCTTTTGGTCAAACGTTAATTGTATGGATAAATATTGTCCAAAACAATAATTTTTCAATATAAATAAGGGCATAGAGGGGTTGTAGACTCATTCATGTATTCCTCTTTAAGAAAAGGAAGACTTTGTCTTGTAAAACAAGTCTAAGGCTTGAGCCTTAGGTGGGAGAAAGCCTTAGGGTTTCTCCAAAATTGCTTGTGTCAAGGTGCTTCTGTTTTAAGGTTTCTCCAAAATTGCTTATGTCAAGGTGCTTCTGTTTTATTTTTCTATGTTTCTTCGAGTTCTCCTACATCACCTATCCAGAAAAGAATTAGTGGGGAAGAGGCCGTGATAGATGAACTTTTCTTAGTTAGATAAAACAATGTTAGGGAACTAGTCACACTCCTCATGATAGAATACCTACATGTTGTAAATGGATCTATGAGAAGAAACTAAATGCAGAGGGGAATTGGGAAAATACAAAGCCATATTATCTGCAAAGAGGTTCACTCAAAAAGAGATAATTCACTATGTTGAGACTTTTTCCCCTGTAGCTAAATTCCCTCCATTCGGACCTTGATAGCCATAGCAGCCTAGTTCAACTTTGAACTCCACCAGATGGATATAAAGACAGCCATTCTAAATGGGGAGTTAGAAGAAGAAATTTATATGAAAGAACTAGAAGGCTTCGTAGAAAAGGGAAAAGAAAATTGTGTGTGAACTTAAGGAATCCCTATATGGCCTAAAACAAGCGTCTAGGCAATGGAATATAAAGTTTCAAGAGACCTTGTCAAAAGCTGGCTTTGTGCCTAACCAGGAGCGTTATTGTATCTATGTCAAGTTCTGTGGGAATGATGTTGTGTTCATCTCTATGTATGTGGATGACATGTTAATTGCCAGTAGTTCAATGACTCTTGTTTTGAAAACAAAAGCTTTCCTATCACGACATTTTGACACGTGGGATCTTGGAGG